ATTTCATCACCCAAAGTTGCAATTTTAAAACGCTACAAACACGCTCCTTTCCCACCCCTCTCACAGTTACAATTAAATTTACCTCCCAGAATCTGGGAGGCACGTGACCAGCCGCAGCCAGGGTCTCTCCCAGATAACAGACGGAGAGACCCTGGGAACGAGGTTGGGTGTCCCACTTAAAACGAATTAGCTAGCATGAGCTGATTGTAATTGCATCATTTTTAAACCAATTGTATTGAAGTGGTGACCTTAGCTAGCCAATCAAAGGAAAGTGTATAGCTAGGATTCACTTATAGCCAGTCAATTTTAAGAAAAATGTGATCTGGGAAATTGAGCAAAATAAACAAATCAGAGTATTGCCATCTTGGCTATGGTTTAAATTGTCATTTCTTTTGCCTCTGACGCGACTCGTTTCCTATTTCTTAATTATTTAAATCGAGAATATTTTAACATATTCAGGTGCAAATGAAGAGAGAAATTCAGATAATGCAGTCATAATTGAAGAACGAGAACCAGCTGCAGGTAATCCTTTAAATATTTTTATGTTTTCGCGAATGTAGTTTTTCTACGCCTGGCACACTTTATGTGCGTTATGGTTTGTCGTGGCTCTAAAAAGTTATGCGGCAAACTTTGCGTGATTCGTACATTTTAATATTATGGAGATAGAGCTAGGTGTCCCACTTAAAACGAATCAGCTAGTATGAGTTAAATGTAATCGCATCATTTTTAAACCAATCGTATTCAAGTGGTGACCTTAGCTAGCCAATCAAAGGTAAGTGTAGAATACACTTAGCCAGTCAATTTTAAGAAAAAAATGTGATCTGGCAAACTGAGCAAAATAGAAATCAGAGTATTGGCATCTTGGCTAATTTGAGTTGTCATTTGTTTTGCCTCTGGTTAAACGCGACTCGTTTTCTATTTCTTAATTGTTTAATTCGAGAATTTTTTTAACATATGTAGGTGCAAGTAAAGAGAGAAATTCAGAAAATGCTGCCGTAATTCAAGAGCGAGAGCCAGTTGCAGGTAATCCTTTTTAATATTTTTATGTTAAGATATACAAAAATATTTCCGTGAAATGTTATAGTTTGTCTGAGCCTGACACACATATACCTGGTGTGAGCTATGATTTGTCGTGGCTCTAAAAAGTTATGCAAACTTCGCATGGTTTGTGCCAGTGGCGTAGCCAGCTCGATAAGGGGGGAGGGCATATTCATATATTCGTGTTCTGCATTATTAATTTCTTTTGAAATTGATGATTGTTTTTAAGGTCTGTGAATACGAATATATGAATATCCCCCCCCCCTCCCCACTTATTGAACTGGCTACGCTGCTGGTTTGTGCACTGTTATGGGCATAGAACAGTAGGTGTCCCACTTAAAACGAAATGTATATAACGGAGACCAATACATGGATATATTATAAACTTATTAAGTTCTCATTTGTTAGTATATGTTTAAAAAGGCAATATTTTATAGGCAAACTAAGAAACATTTGAAAATTTTGAAGTTTTCTTGAATGTTTCCCTATTTGTCCAGGCTTGGACAAGGCCGGCGAGAGGGGGGGGGGGG